ATGTTACCTTTAATAAATTAAATGTTGAGTTTAATATAATTTAATCATAGTTTTATATACAGAAAAAAAATCATATAATACCTCTCCACCCTCTGCTTTTACTTCGTCAATAATTTTCATTGCCGATAAATGATCAATTCCTGGATCAACTCCTATTTCATTGAGGATAATAATTTCTGCTTGTTTAGCCCTTATAAATAAAGACCTTTTAGCATTTACTTGATTCATAAATAAACAAATATGGAATTAAAAAAAATTAATATACTCTACTTATTGTCTAACTCTCTCATTGCTGGAGATATATAGCTAGCTGTTACCATGTTTTTTTTGTGCTTTATACAAGCCTCTGCCACTATATGATGTAAAAATGCTGGAATAAAACTAAAATTGTGATTATATAAGTTACAGCATCTTAAATTTTGGAAAATATTAGAAGAATTAAATGGACCTTAAGTTACCTAACGACGACATCTGATCCTTGAATTACTTTACTCAAATTTTCTTGATTATGAACATCCAAATCAACAATGTCTATTTCTTTATGATTTTTTATTAATGAAGTAGCTTCAGATTTTGAATTACTTGCTAAACGAAATACCAATAAAAATAATATTTAAAATATGCTAAAATAAAAAATACAACTAAAATTCTATTAATGTATAATTTTTTTTTTAAAAAAAATGAGAGAAAAGTTGAAATGGAATGGGAGTGGAATTTGGAAATAACTTTGAATATGTTTCTTTTAACTATAAAGCTATACTATCAATTAACAATATACGCTCGATCAAAATAAACCAACGTTTTAATTATGATGGAAATAACATGCATAGAGTTTTATTTAAGAGCGATAAGACATTGAGTTCTTTATGCAATGTACGTAAAAGTTATGATGATTTATATTTCTTATTACTGTGATTATAGACTTGCGTTATTACTAAATACTATGTAGAACCATATTCATTTTTGGTATGGTAATAAATCAGAACTTTTGACTGGCAGATTCAGATCAATTAATAATGCGTCATAAATTTATTAAAAAATTACTAATAACTCAACATTTTGCTTATAAAACCACTCTTGGCAATCTAACAAAAAAATTCATTGTGAAATTTTTACTATTGTATATCATACATCCTTCCTTAACTATAATATTAGCTCTAACCCTTATCCTAACAATAAAAAATTATTGAATTTAAAATCTCATCTACTGAAAGTTTAAAAAATAGCATTGTTCAAATTAAAACGGACTTAAAACGATAATGTTTGTCTAAAAATATTCCAACTCTGAAGTACACACCATCTAAATTCTAGTATCATTTCACTATCGGATGCTACCATACCATCTGTACGCTATTTTATAT